TCCTTATGGATTAGCCACAATATGAATAATTCCACTTGTCTACTGACGTTGACCATCCGTCTCCATATCGCTGAGGCATAGAGACTGATTTCCACTTGACAAGGATATATCCCATTGCAGTACTTACCGTGCATGAATTCTGACCAGAAGGATGAACCCTTGCGAAATGCCCACCATAACTTACACAAGAAAGCCATGTACACGTCCCTCAACTTTCGAAATCCCACTCCTCCTCCTCGACTGGATAGCATAAGTGGGATCAGCGAATCCAATGCCGTTTGGGACCCTCCTCTTTAGAGTTCCATAAAAAATTTGTGCATACCCTCTCGATGACTCGAAAGACCGACTTTGGCATCACGGCGGTGGACAAGGGATGGATCGGGATTGACGACAACACGTGTTTGATCAGCACCATCCTTCCCCTGGAGAAAGTAACTTTGTTTTCCAGGAAAGAATTTTTCCCATAATAGCCTGGCACGCGTCTCCAAAGTAAGTACTCCTACTTCGCCCAACATATAATGAAAATCCCAAGTATCGAACTGGGAACGCTTGTCTAGTAAACCCAGTCGTGCGCTCCACCATCCTTCGCCGAGCAGGTGTTACGGAGGGGTACATAAGATATGCGCATTTTTGGGCATTGACCAACTGCCCCGACATTCTTTGATAGTTGTTCAGCACACGCATTACCTTTTTAGGGCACTTGACGATCGGTTTGCGAAGATAATCACATCATCTGCGAAGGCCAAATGCGTAACAGGTGAACATTCCCTTGGAACCGTGAACCCCCTAAAACCAGGCTGTGATAATAAACTGTTCAGTCCTCTCGACAATATTTCAGCCCCAATTACAAAGAGCGCCGGAGAGAGTGGATCACCCTGTCGTAAACCCCTGCTAGATTTCAAAAAATCATGGGAAAACCATTAATGATGACCAAGAACCAAACATTCGACACCAGACGCCATACCATGTCAATGAACCACTCTCCGAACCCAAATTTACGCAGCACATTAATAAGCAAGACCCACAAGACCCGATCATACGCCTTGAACATATCCAACTTTAATGCCACACTGCCCCCTCTAACCTTCCTACCGATGCTAGTGATAATCTCTTGGGCGACCAAGTAGTTTTTTGTAATGTTCCATCCCTTAATGAAACCAGTCTGTTGGGAGGAAACAATTTTAGGCAAGATAGTTGCTAATCTGTCTGTCAGGATTCAGGAAAGAACCTTATTAAAAAAATTGCACAAACTCATCGGACGGAACTGAGAAAAATTCTGTGGATTCGAAATCTTTGGAATCAATACAATAGATATAGAGGTCATAAAATGCGGCAGCTCTACCTCGCAGAAAAAGCTCAATACCCCATTATATATATCCCGAGCGATAACGTCCCACGTAAAAGTAAAGAACATACTCGTAAACCCATCCGGACCCGCAGCACTCTCCATCCATCTTAAAGACCACTCGTTTCAACTCTTTTAATGAAGGATAAGCTTCTAGAGTTGCATTATCCTCGGCTGTGATAAGGCTCGGAATAAGATGTAACGGCTCTGAAACTTCTCCTGTAGACCCTGAGAATAATGTCTCGAAATATCCTATGGCTGCCGTAGCTATGTCTTCCTCATTCTCCACCCAATCTCCATTTGAATCCTTTATTTGATGAATCATCCCCTGTATCCTCTGTTGCTTTACTGTCGCATGGAAGAATTTAGAATTGCTATTCTCGTGACACAGCCATTTCACCCATGCCCTTTGTCTCCATACCTGTTCCTCGATCAGAAGAGCATGACGTAATTCCGCTTGCATTTTACTCAGTCTATCTAAGTTTTCTTCGAGTCATCATGCTCTACCCGTTCTTCTGCCCGGAGTACCGATGCCTTCGCCACTCTGACAACATCAAATACATTTCCAAATGACTGCTTGTTCCATTCTTGAGCTGACCTTCTGACAGCCAATAACTTTGAGTATAAAATCCGCAATGGGGATCCACCGACGTCCCACTGCCATACATTGCGAACAATTTCCAAGAGGGAACGTTTAGACGTCCATATGTTTAAGAATCGAAATGGGCGCGGCTTATTATCCAAGCGGGAGACAAAAGAGATTTTCAATGGGGCATGGTCTGAAGGGTGCCTTGCCAAATACGTTACCGAAATAGATGAAGTCAATGTTGTACACTCTTCATTAATTAACAGTCTATCCAATCTCTTCCAAATTCTCGCCCGTTCCTTGCGATTATTACACCACATAAAGTTGAATCCAGAGAATCCTGTGTCAATGTCCCCGACCTCTTCCATAAAAGACATAAGCTTCTGGCTCTCGGAGTTTCTAAATGGATGCCCTTCCCGCTTTTCCTGTGGAGCCATGATCACATTGAAGTCCCCACACACACACCAGGGAGAAGAAAATGACCTTTCAGCAATTAACGCTCGCCATAGTTCCCGTCGTTCGTCTAACGAGCATTGAGTATGGACGATTGATAAAACTAAGTTTCTAGTCAGCCAAGGGTGATGGACCATTAGAGAGATATGTTGGGAAGATTGTCCCACTAAGGAGCATACCAAAGGGGAGCTGTAGAATACCCATATATCACCTGAAGGGTTGGACACCACCGCATCCAATGAGAGACGTAAACGAATAGAATCAATTTGTGAGAATTCCAACTTTGGTTCACAAATAGCAACGAACTTAAGATCATGAACACGTATTAGTTTAACTAATCTTCTGAGATTTGGAGGTCTACTGACCCCTCAAATATTCCAGAATAAACCACTAATCACGGGATACAATCTGGAAACAATTTTGTGAACCTGTTACTGCTGATCGAAGCTGTCTGTCCGACGAAAATTTTGCCTGCACTTCTTTTACCTTCGTTTGCTTTTCCCTTTGCGCACTTGCACCTGGCTGACCACTGTTCGATTCTGATACCGAGTAATCCCGCAGCTCTCTATGATACACCCCTGACCTAGGTGATAAATTTCCAGCAGTAGGTAGCAGCTCCGTGTCACTCCCTTTAGACCCTACGAACTATCTACAGTAGCTCGTAGCAAAACAGATGGCGCCAAGGCTAGTGTGGTAGGTGACCCCGAGTTTCCTTCTTCTGGTGTACTTGGCTGCTCACTTTGGCTGGCGAGGTTCCCCAATTTTGGAGCCAAGTATTCCACCAACGGAGCATCCCCAGTAACTGTTGAAGCTTCTGTCCTGACCTCTTTCGTCCCAGATTCAGCCAAGGTCGCATTGTCTGTTGCGATAGTCATCTGTTCCTTCGCCTTCCGTCCTTGTCACCATTACAGTTTGCCCATCCGCCGCGTTCTCCCTTTCCACCTCTGCCTGTACCATCGTACTTTCTTTCTCCCCTCGCTTGGGAATGTTTTGAGCAGGCTCATCTGCCCTAGCCCGCACCATGAGCTTTGCAATAGGCTGCTCTGTATTTTGTTAGAGATCCCTAGCACTGCATCATATTTTTTGCACTCCTCCATCAAGTGCTCTAATCGCCAGCATTGTGCACACTACTTTGGCAAATTGTCAATCTCGACCTTCTACCAGAACCTAGTCTCGCCTTCCACTGCCACCCGCACTCGTGTGCATATGGATTTCAATAAGTCAATTTCTATGCAAGCCCTCGCCATGTTTGGTCTCGTTCCCGCCGCAGTTGCTGAGTCTAAAAACAGCAACTTTCCTACTAGAGATAAGATTGAGAACAACGAATGTTTGTCATGAAGGTGTATCGGCAACGCAAGAAGTGATACCCATACTGGAACCAATGGAGACTCCCTGTGGACATGGAAATCCCTGATCCACCGAAACACCCTCATTGGATACTTGCCTAGGTGCCAGATTCCATGCGTCCAGATTCTGTTAAAGTCCGCTTTAGCAGAGCACTTGAGAAGAACATGTCTATAGTCCAATAACCCCACTGAAATCTGATCACACAGATTAAGTGCAGCAAAAAACTTCCTAATCTCTTCCAGTGGAGGTCGACCATGGGAAAACTTACCCACAAGGGCAAGTCGGAATGGGGCAGCCAACCTATCTGCTTCTTCGTTAGAGAAAACGACAACCGCCTCCCCTTTGTACGTCGTGGAAGGATGAATCTGAATAGGGGAGATTGCTGGCTGCATGAAGAGTTGTGAGAAAGATTTTTTCCCAGTGGGAGAATCATCTTGCCCCTCAACCCTAGGCTGAAGGGCAGCCATGCTCCGTGAGGAAACCCTAGGCTGCATGAGTGGGGAAGAGGAACCCTAGTCGTCAAGCAAGCCTCCAGTCCGAGGATCTTTTTGCCCACTACTTGAACTTTAATCTATAAAGTTATAATTAAATTAGAAGACCCTTACACATTTATCTGGAACTTATAAACTTAACTAATCAATGCTAAATCCATTCATTCTTTATTGTTTGGTTTTTCTCTGGCTCTCTCCAATTATATAATGTCTGTTTATTTCAACGATTCTAGATTAAAGAGATATAATTACATTTCGACATCATATTAATGGAAGCTTCTAGATCTAGTATAGTCTTTCTAATTTTAGTATTTTCTATACGTCAGGGAATAGAAAATATACTTGAGCCGCCATACTTGGGTGGAAGTTTCTTTTGTAACATGGCTGAAACATTCTTCCCCACTGCAATTCTTTTATCGCCTCTCAATTTCCCTTGGTTGACGCATAAATCCTTCAGAAATTTGGCATACTTGGGCACTTGCTTGATTGCTTCCAATAGAGGGATGTTTATCTCCACCTTCCTGAACATTTCTAAGATCTTCTTCTCCTTGTCTTGCCTCTTTGGGTTCTTCAATCTACTGGGGAAAGGTGGTCAGTTAGGATTAACTTTAAATGAAGGGTTCGAAATTACCTCAGGAGTTAGCTTGATTTTTCCTTCTTTTTCCAACTTCTCAATTTGATCTTCTCTCTTATCCTTGGGAACTACAGGTTTTGGCTCTTCAATTTCCTTTCCACTTTTGAGGGTCATGGCACTTATGTTCTTTGGATTAGTCTCAGGTTACGATGGAAATTTTTCAAAAATATGAGATTCTAAATAGTTAATTGATGTTGTCATCTGACTTATCTGGTCCTCCAAAATTTTCATGCTTGACCGATTTTTCTGTTGGAATTGTGCAGTGCTAGTGGCCAAACTTTTGACAATATCTTCCAAGGAGCTTCTTGAATTAGAGGATGAAGGTTGAGACTTTGGAGGATATTGGGACTGGAATCCTTGTTGTCTATATTGACTAAAATTATGTTGTCTGTTTCCTCTATAACTAAAGTTTGGGTGATCCCTCCATTCCGAATTATAGGTATTGGAGTATGGATCATATTGCATCCGTGGCATGGGCATGTTGCCAGCCATATTCACTTGTTCAGCACTCTCCTCTTGTAGCATCAGACATCCATCAGTGGGGTGACTAACTTCCTTGCAAATTCCACATATCTTGACATACTGCATATTCCCCATTGCTATCTGGTGAACCATAGAAGTTAATTCAACTAGTTGCTTTTGCATCGATGAAATGTTTACCTCGTTCACATGATGAGTTGGAATGTCCTCTCTTGTGCTAAATTGTTGGGAGCTTTCGGCCATCCCTTCAATTAATTCCCATGCCTCCCGAGAGGTTTTGTTCATTAATGCACCTGCACTTGCAACATCGATAATATTCCTATCTTTGTAAAGCAAGCTTTCATAGAAGTACTGAATGAGGAGTTGTTCACTAATCTGATGTTGGGAGCAACTGGTACACAAGTTCTTGAATATCTCCCAATATTCGTAGAAAGACTCCCCGAAACTCTGCTTAATGCCACATATCTCTTTTTGTAAACTGGCAACCTGGGATGCAGGAAAGTATTTTTTCAAAAATTTTCTTTTCATGTCCGTCCATGTTGTAATACTCCCCACTGGCAAGTAGCATAGCCAATCCTTGACAGCCCCCTTCAATGAAAAAGGGAATGCTTGCATCTTAATTTACTCCTCAGTGACACCAAGTGGCCTCATACTTGTGCAGACTTCTATAAACTCCTGCAGGTGCTTGTGGGATTCTTCACCTAGCAAACCATGAAAATTGAGGAGGAGGTGTATTAATCCTGATTTCAATTCAAACATTATATTTTCAATAAAATCAGGAAAAGTAATGCATAGGGGGTACTGGTTTAAGTCAGGGGCAACTAGCACCCTCAAGGTTCGATTATTATTCGTCATAATATTTTTATCTTGCTTATAATCACTTGAGTAATCACTTGAAGAATCCAACAAGTCCACAACCAAATTAAGCCCTAGAGACGCAATAGATGACTGCTCTCTCTTCCGTATTCTGGTCTCTCTTCGTAGCCTACGCACTGTCTTCTCAATCTCGGGATAAAAAATTAAGTTACCTATACGAGAAGAACGAGACATAAATTAGCAAAAATACTAGAAAATAAAATAAAACAAACTAAGAAAAGAAACAAATTTTCTAACACCAATCCCTGGCAACGATGCCAAAAATTGACAAGTGTCGGGCCTGTGCAATAATAAAACCCTACTCACAAGAATATTTGTTCGACTATAATGGTAAGTAGGGTCGTCTCTATAGGAATTAGGGGAAAATTTGTTTCTTCTCAAGTGAAAATTAATTGGGGAAGTTTGGAAGATTGAAATTAAAAATACATAACTAAGTGAACTAAAAATAATTAAACTAAACATAGTAAATTCAAATCAAGGATAAACAAGCTCTAACCAAGGAAATAACTCCGGAAGTCATTCATACAACTATTCATTGATGTAAGAATTATTTCATTTATTCGTTAATAAATAGGTTATAGTTACTAAATAAGCGATGACAACCAACTCTTTCTTTGTGTTTCGATAGTTAAGATAGGTCGGTTTACTATTTTTTTAACCAAAAAATAATTCTAGGTACGCCTGTAGAATTTTATTTCTTGATTGCATTAGAAACTAGAAAAGCCCTATTCTAATCAATAAACACATTATCAGGGTTTATTTAAATTAGATCATATATCTCCTTAACATGAAACCAATCACATTAGTCGCTACTAATTTAGGACAATTAAACAATTATAGATTTAAATGTCCTAACTGGCAATAGTTCGTTAGGTTGAATTAAATATCAGGCACCTTTGATATCCAAGCAACTAACAACCATGAGAAGTTAAACCAGAAAACATATAAATACTAACGAATAAAAGAAATTAATAAAATAATTAGATCTCACAGATATAATTGAACCAAATTCTTGTTATTCCTCGATTAGAAAAGTAAATAAACCGCGTATCATTGAGAAGAAACCACACAAATTCATTGAAACCATTTGTACCAGCATTTGACAAAGGAGAATAATCAAGAAAGAAAAGCCAAGCAGCTGCTTTGTTTCTTTTTTTTGTGTGCAAAGAGTCACCCCCTCGTTTTGCTCCTAGCCGAGGTACTAATCAAACGGAATCCGGCGTTTCCTCTTCTCCCTTTCCTACTTGATATCTACTAGTACTAATAGAACGTATTTTCTAATTAAAAGAAAGAAACTACAAAATATGATGTCTCATGTTTCCTAATTATTTCCTATAACTAATAAAAATAATTTCCAAATCTTCCACCAAAGGCTCTTCAGCATTTGACTCAAATTAGGAAACCTCCACATGCAAATCCCGAATCATCTGTACTCGATGGCAATTTCTGGGAAATCACCTCTTTTTATCACTTTTTGCTCAACTTTCCCACAATTAATACCAAATACCAAATATAAGTAGAATCCGACAATTAAAATAATATTTGGATAGAATAAAGGGGAAATTAATCATAAATTTTTCAACAAATTGCAACCTATCACCAGTTATAAAATCACTGTTGTGTGTACAAGTTCAGCAAACTTTAATTTCCTAAAAGAGGATAAAAGTATTAAATTAACATGAGAACTAAGGTCGCACAAGCACCTTTCAACTAAAATATTCTCCAAATAATAAACTCGTTGGATCATTCATCTTGATTGGAACATGATTTTAAAGTACTGCATTCCATTCTTCAATAACCAAAACTCTTGCAGATGCCTCCAACTTCCTTTTCTTGGACACGATCTCCTTTAAAATATTTACCATAAGAGGGCATATTTGCAATAGTTTTAGCAATTGGAATATCCCCGTGTAGCTTTTGTAACTTCTCTAAGAACCTTTGATAACGACTCTTTAACTATTAAGGAAAAGAAATGGGTGCCACATAAGTTTTAACATCAGGCATCTTAATAGATTGATGTTCAACTAGAACCTCCTTGCCCGAACCATGTACCTCCTCTTGAGCCTTGTCAATCTTGTCATCTATTTCATCTTTCTCCTTGGGTATACTTTTTTGGCTCATTTGTTGGATCATCCATCACTTATTCTAAACAAAGGAATAATGCCATAGTAGACTCCATACGGTTTATCTCTGTGTTGTGTGGTATTCTTTCCAATTTTCTCTCTATTATCACCTTTGTCAATTGACCCACTTGCTTTTCAAGATTTTGAATTGATGCTTGTTGAGATTGAGCTAAACGATCAAAATGGTTCATCCTTTACTCTATCTTCTACATATATTGAGGTGTCATCTTCTTCACACTAGGATTTCTTTCTTAGGGAGGTTGGGGTTGACATTGAAGCTCTTGTTGCTGATTTAAAAACTCTGGTGGTTTAGCAAGTCCAACTCCAGGATCCTTCCATGAGAAATTAGGGTGATTTGCCCACCCTGAACTATATGTGTCAAAGGCATCGCTTTGCTAGACACCTTAAGCTCTTGTAAAGTTTTCTTCTTCAGCCATAGTTGGTGCTGCTCTATTGTAATCAGAAGAAACAACTGGACCATACATATTACAATATGAATATGGGTCTTGTGGTTAAGCTATACAATTGGATAACACCTGCACCTGGCGGCTCAATTTAGCAACTTGTAAACCCAACTCCGATAACATGTTCTTCTCACGAACAACTACTCTTCTACCCTAAATTACTTTTTGTTGTGAATTACTAGAGAGCAACTTATATACTGCAACTAATTCTTCTAGGGTCTTGTCTCTAATATATCCTCCAACTATGAAATCCACCATATTTTGGGTTGTAAATGTCAAGCCATCATAAAGGAATTGTACTTGTGATGCCAAGGAATACTGATGATGAGAACATTGAGCAAGTAACAACTTGAACCATTCCTAAACTTCATGAATGGGCTTGCCTTCCACTTGAGAGAATGTATAAATCTTGTTCCTCAAATCAAGCATTTTCTGAGGTGAATAGTACTTTATCATGAAGATATTATAAATATCTTCCCATGTTCTGAAAGATGCCTTTGGCAAATTTAACAACCATGATTTTGCATGATCCTTGAGAGAAAATGAAAAACACCACATACAAAGATGGTCTTCTGTAATTCCATGTGACGGAAAACTTTGTACCACCAAATAAAACTCACGAATGAAAGAGGGAGGATCATCATTAGAAAGACCATTAAAAGTGGGTAACATGGTAAAATGAATGGTTTTCAACTCATAATTTCTAGCCCTATCACTCAATTGAATACATTGAGGAGATGCTGTGATTATTAGGCATTGGATGCCCCTCAAATGAAGTCTTATAGATGGATAGTTGGTAGTATCACATGCCTTTGATCATTCCAATTCTTTTCTACCATCCTTAAATGCAGTCCCAACTTATTGAACTCCAAGGTGATTAGTGCCTACAAGATAACAAATAAAATTTAAGTAAAAAAAATCAAGTATATATACAAATCATAACTAAAGCAAAAAAAAAATTAAGCATTGTCCTTGGCAACAGTGCCAAAAACTTGACTGACAATTTCTTACAAGCGCACAGGGTCAATCGTAGTAATAAATCACTTGGAGTATTTCAAGGATTGAACCCTTAGGAATGGGTTAATTTTCCTATTTTAATTATTGTGAAGATTAATAAAAATTCAAGTTCAAGAGATTTAATATCTAACTAAGAAATAAAATAAATAGTCAAATTGAACAAAATACGATTGAGAAAACAATTGACAAAGGATTAGGATATCAGATCTTGATCCAGAGTTTGAGTTAATTATTTAGTTATTTTCTTAACAAGTCAAGAACGTATCACACGCAAGTACCTTAAATTATCTCTCGACATATCTAAGTTGTGCCTAAAAAAATCTCACACCTATCTCGAGATCATAAGTATTTGATTAAATCTTTTAAGATCTTAGGTGACATAATTATGTTACTCTCGTAATTAGGCTAAGTATGTTTATCTAATAAGTGCATGGTTGTATATCCTTTCTTAGTTCAATATAAACCCTAAGAGCGTGTATATGGTGGCCAATCAAAAGCATATAATTAAAAAAATAGACAAATTAAGGTAAAAGTCAAGAAATTAATTAGATTAAATAATCCAATCTTTTTCACAGAACCCAAACCCTAGAATGGAATTAGTTCAATATATTCATAATTAAAACAAAGAATTCAAGAAACAGCTACAATATTGGAGAATAAAGTAAAGAAAACGTCTTAGTTTGTCCAGCATCAATCCCCATATTGGTTGCTTCATGATTCTCCCACCTCTTCTTCTTGATCTCTAAAGAAAAACATGTAAAAAGGATGAATTAAACCTTAACCTAGCATTTTTTCCTCTAAAAACAATCTAAAGTACTCCTATTTATAGCTTCCTAAAGTTGTGATCCAAGTATGGTAGGATTAGGTCTTGAAAAGCAACCAAAAAATGAGTTTGAGCATGTTTTCCAATGAAGTTCGGCCCCTATTTGTTTCGAAGCTCCCAAAATATTAGAATCCGAAGAAGTCCGGTGTAATGTCCCTTTCAATGTCCGATGCCGGATATGGATCCGCCCATGGATCCTATGTAACTCAACAGCCCCTGTTTGCTTTTCGTTACGATTTTGCTTGTCGTGTGTTATTGCTCTTTTGCGCGATTACCCTTGCCAAATTGGTTCATTTTCTCTCCAATTGAGCTCCCTACCTATTCGAATAATATAAGAATAAAATTAAGTAGTTTCTATTTAATTACAGTTCAAATATCATAATTAACTAGCAACTTATACATGTAAAGATAATATAATTTATGCCTTATCACCAAGCAAATTTTACTCTAACAAATAAGTGAGAAACTGTTGACTTATTAGCAATGTTTTGAAAACCGGACCGGACCGGCCGGTTCGACCGATTGAACCGCGAACCGGCCATGGCACCGGTCCGGTTCTATGCTCTGGTTGACTTTGCCAGAGAACCGGTCAAACCCGGTAAAAACCGGGAAAACCGGTGACCGTGTTGAATCGGATTGAACCGGTTTTTGAGTTTTCCTTTTTTTTTTTTTTTTAAACTTTTTGCAAAATGCTTCTATCAAGATTTGAACTCAAAACCTTTGTAATAGAAGACCAATGTAGTAACCATTGCACCATCACATCTTATTTGCTTTTTTTGATAACTTATTTATATAAAACAAACATCTATATTTCATTTTTCCATTTTTCTTACAAAATCTCATCCTCTCATGACTCTTTCTTTTTAATCTTCAACTCTTTCTTTTCTCCCTCATCTTTTCTTTTGTCACTCCATTTTTAATCAAACCTCATTAGTTCTAATTTATTGATGTTTTCTTCTATCTTTTAATTTTGTTTTTGCCCATTAAATTGGAAAAAGTTAAAAAAGAATTATTTTTCTTTAACCCAAATTATTTAATGCCACAACCACTCACTTTTATCTCATTTTTTGTTTCTTATCAAGTTTGCATTTCTATTTTCAATTCTCTTAACTTCTTTCGAACTCCAAACTTTCTTTTTTAAATTACAATCTTTAAATCTCAAAGACGTAAATTAAAATTTAAGTTCACAATATCAAATTCTCATAGACGTGAATTTGTATAATTTCAAAATATTGTGATATTTTTGGGTTGGATTTAAGATTTTTTTTGTAGATATAATTAAAATTGAGATGAAATTTATTTGTTTTAACTTATAATTTAAATAATTTATTTTTGAAAATCCAAATTATTCAAAAATAGTGAACTTTTCATCATATAAAGTTTTAAATTAGTCCATTGCATGTCTTATTTTGTGCATATATATATTTATATAAATTATTTTTAAAAAAATTCATTGAACCGAGGTTGAACCGGTCCGACCGGTTGAACCTCGACCCTTTCACCTCACCGGTTCAATTGACGGTCCGGGTTTTAAAACATTGCTTATTAGTTAATGCAAAATATGCATTAAGATTTCAATACTTAACAACTCAAAAATTTAACATTTTCAATTTCAAAATTTCAGTTTTATTAAATGCATTCTCACTTTCATAATTTTTCATTTGGTGGTATACATGAAGCTAGACTTGCCAGCATAAGATCCAACTAGTGGCAATTACAAGTTTGTGTGATCTGTTTGTGACATTTATAATGTGGTTGACAAAATAAGTTGAAATGTCTTTAAAGCAAAAGTATATCTAACTTTCCACAAAGGGAAAAATCACATTTTTCTTGATTACAATACCCGTTTTCATTCAATTAGATGGCAGTTGTAATGGTGAGCTGAATGCTGATATATGCTGTGGGATTTAAATCCAATCGTCTCAACGGAAACGTCACTTCCAATCCATCAATTTTAACAAAAGCTCCCTTGTGCATAGCACATGCAGTGGTCATTGTTTTGCCCAGTATTGCCTGCACGTGCCATGTGAATGTGTATAAATCAGAGTCAAAGTTCACATGCCTCGCGCCCTCCATCAATTATCTCAATGGAAGAGCTGCCAAAGTTTTCACTTTGCACCCCTCATTTATTCCATATCACACTTTTCACCCCATATCTCTCTCTCTGACATACAAGAATAAGACTTTATTAGCTTTCAGTGGGAGCAAAAGTGTGCAATTTGGCATTTTTTTTTGACAAAAAATGGCATTTTACCATTAAATAAGAACAAGGGTTGAGAAGGGTCTTTGTACCAATCACCCATCAAATGAAATCTATTTCTTGTCAGATTTTAATTTGTTACAGTCAATACAGAATTAGAAGTTGAAGTTAATAAATTATAAAAATTGAAAGTTTAAGGGCACAAAGTGTGATTTTTCAAAATAGTTGAGGGGTCAAAATGCAAGCAACCATTTTAGATATGAGAACAAAAATTGGTACATCTTAAATTTCGCAAGCCTGCAAAGATGCAACAAGAGATATTGTATTAAATATCTGAGTGATATTGTTATGTAGTAATAGATTGAGGATAAATGTTTCAGCTTATTGGAAGCTAGTATTTTCCTATGCCTAGTTAAATTTGATTCGGATCAGATACTGGTACATTTTTTTTTTTAAAAAATTGCTTAATAATTTGATTTGCTATCCTTTTGTAAAACTGCTAAAACTCCTTCCGATTACCAGAATACTTGCCAATATTTCAGGTTTTTTAATATTTATTTTGTAGTTTTTAATACCATCCAAGCACCAGAAGTTTTCATCACGGTCAAGATAAATGTTAGGGAGGGCCAAAATTTTGCATCCTCTCATACACCAATGAAACCTATATGACACTAAAAAAGTTGAAATGATTTCAAATACCATGACATGTTAGTGTCCTACAATTTAAAGAAGGTTGATGTGTAAATGCAAAAACGTAATCCTCATATACATTACCTGCTTTTCCACTGCTCGAAGCAATTAAGAACTGTTCAAGAACCAAAAATGGGAGCATTGCCTCTTTGTGTGTGGAAATGTTCAAACTACATTAGCCCAAAAGAGAAGAGCGTAGTTTTCACGCTTCTGGTGTAAATTTGAGGTGATATAGACATTCATTTCTCCTCTCTTGTGATTTCATCTTTTGAAAGTAAAATGGATACTACTTTGAATTTGATTGGTATAATACATTTGAGCATGAACTGTACAATTCGAAGAAGTTAAACATTTGAAGTACTTTTTTAACGCGTGTCTAATATGTACTTGCAAGTACTCCTAAATTAAGTATAACTGACTATCTAAATGTACACATCTAAGTATAACTGACTAAGTAAAACTGATAATCTGAATATACTTGCAAGTACTCCTAAACTAATTATAACTGATTATTTGAATGTACACATTTACATCTATTTTTCTTGTGTCTATATGTACACTTTTTCAAATTATTTATACTTTTCAAAAAATTAACACTTGAATTTTTTTTCTTAATGATTGCCAATTGGATAATTATATATAAACCAAATCAAATTGCATAATCCTATTTGCACTTGAAAAACCAAATCAATGTGCCTTTCTAAAAATAGAATAAAATCCGATCCATCATTTTAAGGTGACTGTATTATTAGAATAAAAGTGATGGTAATATATTTGTTATGTAGCATGAAGTTGATATATATATATATATATATATATATATATATATACATACACGGGGGACGGGATCCCTTAAACTCAATTAATTGGCAAGCGTTTTGTTTTAAATTTCATCAATTAGAAAAGGTATTAAAAAGTGGTATCAAACCAAAAAAGATTCTAAATTCATTTATGGGATAGAGCCACGAACAATTATCACTTGGAATTTTTTTCTATAACCAAAATTAGTTCACACAGTAAACAACAATATGGAAGTTGTGCATACTGAAACTGATATATAACTTTTGGACACAGACTAGTGAGCTTTTTACACTTTGTAAAACAAAGTATAGTGTTACTAGCTCAAATAGTACATTTTAAAAATAAGAAACTTTGGGCCATCCTAACAATGAATCGTCTCAAACAATCTTTAGTAAAAATCTTTTCTGCTTCTTGTTTTTAACGTTTAGGGATTAGTCTCTAAGTTCTATTCATAACTTCTTTTCACGATATATACTTCTTGTTATTCATAACGACTGGGAAGATCTAGAACTCCAAATACTAATTTATTAAGTCAACATTGGCTATTGGACCATTTAGTCTTGTTAAAGGTGCTCTTATTGTGTGAAACAGAATAAATTTGTTCTCATAAAAAAAATATTTTTCCTCTCACTATTACAACATATACATACATGCATATCTAGACGTTACTTTTTTTTCACACGATGGAATCACCTGTTTCTTCCACCAAAGTAGGCGAAACTAATCAAGAGAACCTATCTATCTTGATAGAAACGAAATTTTCATTTTAGGAAACAGATATCCAGAAATAAGAAAAGAATGTGGCCACTTAAGCTTTTATAAATGCTTAATAGGTCAACCAAGAAAAAGGGGTGCCAGACAGTGGGTAAGTTGGAAGTGGGACTAGGGATTTTTCTTGGGGTGGGGTTGATGTAATGGAAAAAAGGTTGAGAGAAACATTAGAGGTATTTTTGCACGTGTAAAACACATGTTCCACATGCCCTATTATATTGGGCACACTAATATTCTTGTTTCTGTCAAGTTATTCACGTCTTCTAGTACACTTTCTTGCTGGACTCCTATAAAACAGCTGAGATTTTTCCTGGTCTCCGTCGACTTGTTCAGCTATTGCTTTCTCTGATTTCTTTGGCTGTTTCATTCCTTTTTGTTACTTTTCTTGCCTTCATTACATCAAAGTGAAATGAAGCTTAAGCCTCCCAATACTCCCTAGATATGATTATTGCATCAGGAGATAGACAAATTTTTGGAAGAGAGTATTAAAGAGAAGAATGATGAGAAAGTGCACTCTCGAACTCCCACTTTCCCCAGCCTCAGCTTCTTCTGAATCCACGGATTTCCACAGCCAATCTGAGTAAGTTTGTTATTTCTAACTCTATTTTTTACTTGGTTCTAAGTTCTAAACGTGCTTTCTTCGATATGTATATGAATTTACGAGCCAAGGATTTTAAGGTTTTTGTGCATGATTAATTAAGATAATAAACAAAGGCTTGATTAAGTGTTGATACAAAACCTTTTTTTTTTTTTTTGGGGGGGGGGGGGGGAAATGTCACAGGTAGTATGTCAAGGGCTAGAGAATTTTGATGTTCTAGCCAGTCTAATTTAAAAGAGTACAATGCTTCTGACATCAATTGTTGTTGTAATCAATTAAAATGTGAGATTCTGACTTTAAAATATTCTTTTCAATTTATAATGCAGGTGAAGATTTCTACTTAGCTAGATGCTTGCATGTTTATCTCTGAGACTTAACTGTTAAAGTACAATTTTCACAAGCAAACTAGGCCAACTTGGATGATGGGGGAAATTTTTTTTTGTTTTGGTTTTTTAATTATCATCAGGCTGAGAACAACGTACTAATTAAGAAATCAGAAGTCTGCCTTGCAAAAATGGTTTTGCCATTTTTCTTTTGAAAGGGGCCTAAAAGTTCTTGAGTTCTGCATCATGTTCTTAACTAGAAAGGATTCAATTTTCCTACATTGTCACATTCGCATCAATGCATGGCTACGTTTTCTTTCTGCAGGGCTTGCTCATCAAGAAGAGACCAGATCACAGTATTACACAACATGCGATCCGTCTGCATTTGTGATGCAACTGAACTTCAGGTAAAGACATCATTTATGTGCCTTTTTCCCTTCTGATCTTCTATCCTATTGTAATTCCATGTCATGGCAACATTTCTGACATTGACAAAACAAAGATTCTTTTATGCTGGTGGTTCTGGAAGCTAGAAACTTAACTGGCCTCTATTCAATTTTGAAATTCACTTTTTGCACATATAATGCAACCTACGAGTGGAGAAATCTTTACCTTGTAAATGTAACAAAGATTAATCGATGTACTTGCTTTGTTTGTTAACAAGTGAGACAATGTTAAATTGACACTAGAATGCCAATTTTTCTATAATGGACTAGCTGCTTTATTTTTCGGTATAGGCAATAATCATCCTTTGGCTTGCAAGAAGAGAAGTGGACGATAAATTGTCTAACTTCACAGGTGCAGTACCATCCATCATGAAAGTTCAGTTACACAGTTCTTCAGGCTTGTCATTAAGGAAATCGCTCCAGAGGTTTCTCCAGAAGAGAAAAGACAGAATTCAATCAGCTACTCCTTACAAGCACAAATTCCTTTGAAATTGTGGAGCATAATTAAATAAAATGGAGGATATAGTGGAGAAGGATGATGTACACCTACTTCCTAGTACTTAATAGTTATGATTTGGATCCAAGAAGCTCTTTGTTGGGAGAATTTAGAGAAGGCTGACAAGAGGGTTCTGTGGGAGTTGGGATTTTTACACTCCTCGATTGCACGCAAGAAAATGTGTTTACAAGCATGGAGGCACATCATCCAGACATAATTCAGTCCTATTCCACTTACTGGAATAAAATGTTATTTAACAATCTTTTATATATTCTATTTGTAGTTCTTTTTACTTTATATTATCCTATTAAAGAATATACTTGCATGTTATTAAGAAGTGGAACTGAGATCAAATAGGAAACGACACAATCCATCTCTAAGCCCAAAATGTTTCCCATAGATTTGAGGTTGATTATGCCCTGCTGAAACATGTATGCTTTTCACTTTAATCTTCTAATTTGCCTGACTGAATAAACCAACCGTCTAGGCATATAAATACTTGTTTTAGGTAATCGACCATATAGAGCCCAAAAAATTAGAGGGGTGGGGAGAATAATTTAATGCATTCAAAATATAAAAAAAAAAACATAACAGAGGCTAAGTTATGCATAAAAAAATATGTATAGGAGAAAAGAAATAAATATTATTAATTGAGAAGAACAAGATTCTTACAGGCTCACCCTTCTCTACTAAACACAACAACTAGACAATCTAGGCATCGTCAACATGACTTGATAAACAAGGAAGAATCATCACAACAAATAACATAAAATAATCCTTAAGCTACTAAAAATTGACTTAACCAAATTGCTAAATATTGATACAGGAACTTCTAAAATATCAGGCTTGAGTAAATATGTCAATATTGCCTCTGTTGAATCAGGTCCAATACAATTATGAATAATAATATCCCTTGCATACTCTACCAGTATCACTTTGTACTAGTTCTTCATTTTCAAAAACTTTTGTTTTTGTAATATTTCATGCACTTGGATAGATTCATCTTGTCGCTTATTCTATTTTTGAATGTTATAATGATCTACGCACTTGGATAGATAGTTTTCTTGATATAATTTGATGTCAATTCATTGACTTTCTTGGATAATGTCTCAAAAAGATTCATCACTTTGTAATCTTGATAACTATAATTGAGGAAATTCTTCTCCAATCTCCGTTCCCATATCTACAATCAATTTGACAATTTTGGACCAATTTTACGCTCCATTCGTCACTAACTACTCCAAGGTCAAATCTCGTGGTTTTTACTCGATCAGCCGAACACTCCAGGCAGGCACCAACCCAAGGCTTTGATACATAAACATATGTAGGGAAGCTAATTTAGAGTAAAATCAATAATATAATATTAATCAATAAGGACAAGACTTTCATCTGCTTACTCTTCTTAGTTAAACACAATAACTAGACACCCTAATTATAGTCGACATGACTTGATAAACAAGGAAAAATTGAAAAAATAACCTAGAATAATAGTCAAACTACTAAATCAGAAAACAACTAAAGACTTGGCTCCACCAAAAACAACAGAATACTAATATAGAATGTTCTAAAATATCAAGCTTGATTTAATATACCAAAAGATCAAGTAGTCAAAAAATGAATCATAGAATTTGAAATGTGATTGCAATTTACAAAAGGAGGACTAGTATGCCTTTCATAAAGGCAACGGTTTGTCGATCATTTATATAATTCGGGTGATTTATTCTTTTGTTGCAACATTGATATCGTACATGACAAATATCAGATTCCACTTGGGGGTTCTGGCGTTAATTTAGCATAATGGTAATGCTGAAAGGTTTAAAAGTTGGGCTAAACCTACCCGACTAAGAACTTTTTAAGAGGTAGGAAGTCAGTATTTTCCAAAGGGTAGTTTGTAATTAATTCTCAGATACATGTTAATGGGCTGTTCAAAAGGGGGAATGCTTGGATTTGGTGGTAAGAAGAGAGGATTGTAAATAGAAGATTCTAGATTTAAAACCTGTCACTCACAAAAAAAAAAGCGGTTGTTTAAAAGGCAAAGATAAAGAGAACGGGTGAAGAGTGCTCAATGAAGTAACTCTCCTCAAACTCCAATGATTTGGACTCTTTTTTTTTTTTTTTCTTTTTCTTTTGAAGCGCGATGTTTAAGGCATTGCATCTTTGAAAGATGAAAAAGGAAAGGAAGGGGATGGAGGGATGAAGTGTTTTTGTTTTGGATTAACTTTTGTTGAGGGAAACGAAAGGAAATTGGGAAGTAAAAGGAGGGATTAATTCTAGATCATTTTGTTTTAGGTTGCCTGTCATCCAAAAATAGGCCGACATGTGGGTAAATAAGCTACGATTGATGAAATAATTTGACATTATCCGCAAAGTCCTTGTTTTTTACCTTGTTAAACTTAGTGAACTACATGGTTTGCGACCAAACATGCTGTTCAATTACTGCATGGTCTGGGTTTCAATAAGATTATTTTGGAAGGATATTCACAAAAAGTTATCAAAATGTTGGACCGTTTGGAATTTGACGATTCATCATGTGGTTTGTTGATTGATGATACCATTGTCTTATATCAAGATTTCATGTGTTGGGAAGTTTCATAGATTTCTAGGTCGATTAATATTCCTACTCATAACCTTGCTAAGTATGCTGTTAATCTTTTAGATTCTTGTATATGAAGAAATTCTCCTCCATCTTTTATTAGTTCTGCACTTGTTGCAGATTTGATCTCATGATTAATAAAATTTTTATTTTATTATAAAAAAAACTTAGTGAACTTTTATTCAATACATTCACTATATATTTCTACCTTAAACTTGATTTTTTATTTGTAATACTTAAATCACTAACGCTAAAATTGACGATTCCTTTCTTTTTTCATCCGTGTATAATGAACATGAAATTATGGAAATCATTTCCCTCTAAGCCATGTTTAGATTGTAGTTTTTTAATAAAAAATTTTATGTTTTTTGTGAATACATTTCTCAATTATCTTTTTATCTCACATACATCAAATCGTTACATTATATATATATATATATATATATATATATATATATATATTTATTTATTTATTTATAAAAATTTCAAAAAATAGCAATCCAAACAGTATCTTAGTTTCCTTTCTTTTGCACTAGAGCTCTTTCCTTTTTTTTTTTTATTCCAAATAAACTTAATGAACTATAAAAGTTTTATGGTTGGGGGCTTGGGGCAATCAATATAATCAATTTGGTTATGGTCAAATTTGGGCAGTCAATCTAATCAATTTGGTTATAATCAAATGTTTGTTTCGCTTGCACCGAATTTTTTTTAAAATTGCTTTGATTATCTTCTCAAACCAAAATATAAATAATAAACACTCACTTTTTTCTTTTTTGTTTTTCTAACAAGGGAGGGTGGGGTTTAAGAAACGGGAGGGGGTAGGGGAATTAGAATCCAAAACCCTTACTGGTAATACTTTCAATTTTATAAGTGAGTATTTATTATTAAAAGCACTGGTAGAGCACTAAGCAGAAAGATGCTGGATCTGATATTGTGGAATTCTCCTCCTAACTTTTTTATACACTGATATCATAATCAATGCATAAAAAAAAAACACAATTCTAGTTGGGCTTTTATAAAGGTTGATGGAGATATAGTTCATATGGACTTTTATAAAGATTGTTGGACATTTCTAAAGATTATTTTATGTATTATACATTTATTTTTAGATAGCTAGATCTCTGAATACGTCTTGTCCCATCAAATGGCACACGTCTAAATTCACTATTTCAACAAAATTATATTAAATTTTAAGGGATTTGGAATGCAAAACAATGCTTCCTTTGTCTATAGCCAATTCTTCATTTGTTGTTTGTTTATTTTTTATGTATTATTCCCGCACATTTCTATCTTAAGGAAACTTTAGTTAACAATTTTTTGGGCAAGTGCAGCATCACTATTAAATCTGCTTTTTGTTTTCCTTTGATCATGCAATTACTTTAAGAGCAAAAGCTTTTTTTTTTTTTTTCTGTATAGGTTAACTATATTTTCCTTTTTATTTATTTTGTTTCATTTGATCTAACACGTGGAAATATTTAACTTAAAAAAAGCTCACACAATTACGGCATGAAAGTGAAAAAGTGCCAGAAGATTAGCTAATAGCACACTATTTCTTCTTTGAATTAAAAATCTTTCTTCAAAATAATCTTCCACCTACTAATTTCAGAAGTTCACAAAATCAATTTTAATTTCATGGTCCTAATTTAGGTGTAGCCTTCTAACAAATGTGCCCAGCCATTATTATTGCATGGCTTTCTAATAGCCATCACTTTATCCTTATCTAACAACCAATTTGGTGCTTTTTTGCTTAGTCAAAGGCCTTGTACCATTTGATTGGTTCCCACAGCACTTTGCATGGAGCTTTCTCCCTTGAAATTTAATGGCCTTACAGGTTTTTCGAGCTAGCATAGGTCCCCATTATCCCGCTCTATATTCACTAGATACAATAAAAAGAGAGAGAGAGAAAGAGACTGGAATAAGAGATAGAGAGAAAGAGACTGAAATAAGAGATAGAGACAAAGAGTGAATCTGCTTGTGGGTTCAACAGGAACTTGAATTTTGAGAAAAACATGACAATGGAAGCTGTTGCAACAAATGGACCAGCCCCGGAACAAAGGAAGAATAGGATTCAGGTTTCTAATACTAAGAAACCACTCTTCTTTTACGTCAATCTTGCCAAGGTTTGCCACTATCTTTTACTACACAATTTCTTTATTGCATGGTTTCTTACTTTGTTGCCCTTATTTCTTGGTAAAGTCTTTTTTTTTTTCCTTTTTTATTATTGTTTTTGGGTCATATCCTTGAGTTGGTTGGTACATTAATCTGAGTGCGCCTGAATTAGATCAGAAAACGTCTGCCAAATGTATCTTCAGAAAAGTAGGATAGTGCATTAATATCTTTTTGTGTACAGAAAAAGGAACAGAAGTACAAATAGAAAACAATGTTTATCTAACAGCATTTCATGGGGTTGTTTGATGATGTGAGGCTGATAGTTTGAGGCTCTTGCTTTTTCTATTTCGTGAATTGACTTGAGTATTTCTTCAAGAAATCAGGCCTAGTAAAGTGACTTGTGCTCATGTGGAAGAGAATCCACTTGGTGAATAGATTTGCTTCAGCTAGCTTCAGTTTTCTTCATCCTGTTGGGTTCTTCCAATTGTTTGACTTATGGACATCTAGTTTTTTTTTTTTTCCGAAACGGTAGATGATTGTATTACTAGACAAAAGCTGTACAAGTGCGAGCAAAGGCTCGATTGAACTTTACAAGTAGCAATGCTACCACTAAGGAAACCAATGTTCCTCATCAAAAATAATGCCCAAGGCATGAATGCTAAGCTTGGAGCTTAGTTGAGTCTTATCCTTTTTAATTAAACAAAAGGAGCACAAAGGAAACAGCTCTCTCAAATGAACAATGTCATCCACAACAGTAGCTAATCTAATGTCACCAACGCTGTTTGTGCGAATTTGGCTGAGAAGTTGTGGGTTTTGCACTTGGAACTGCACTTCCCTGATGTGTGTCCGAACTGGCATAGAGCCAATCTTACACATGGCCAACTTAAGTGCATTAGCATCATCCAGCAGTGCTGAACCAGAACTTCTTGCTCGAAGTGCCCACCCTCTGTGTAATCTTTGATCAGGCTGCTTAATAACAATTCCAATACCCATGTTGTGATTGTTCATGGTCGAAGTTGCCCCTACCGTCACTTCCAGTGTCCCAAATGCTGAATGTAACTGCGGTATGGGTGCATGGAGGGTTGCTGTTTCGTTTGTACTCATTCCACATTCCTTTGTATCAAGTTCTACCAATTCTAACCATTCCTGATGTGCCCTCTGTACTTATGGACATCTAGTTACCAATATAGAAGTTGAAATATTGAAGTTTGATCCGTCAATCAATATCACGTAATTGTACGCAACTGATGACACTAGTGAGTAGATCCTACCGCATAACTGCCACATCCTGAATATTCAAAGTTATGGTTGGAGAAAACTTTCTAGTCTTACGAAATTTCAGTTAGGACTTAGGAGCTGATTTTAGTTAAAATTCTAAGTTTGGCTTTAGTCCTAGGATCTGCTCTCCAAGTAAAACTTGAAACAACATGATGCTTTTTCGTTTTTTTCAGTCTAAACACATTTATCTGTTCCAATTTGTTTATAATCCTCAAAAATTGTACACCATCCTCAAAAAGAATTCTTCTGGCAATAAAGCGGCTTCCAATTATTCTTAACATCCTGATGGCTAGATTTCCTACATGACGTTAAGTATATGTGGGATGCTTGCTCCTGTTTTGTCTGTTGCTTTGGTTCATAAATTTTAACGAACAAGATCCTACAATAAGAAGAAACTGCTCGTTCAGAAATGTGTTTCCTTCTGTTAATCTTCTATACGGGACAAATGTTACAAAGCCAAATCTTCAAAGGAAGTGAACTTGAAAACTCTAATTTTTAGATGTTATGCAGTATCAAACTGTGAGTTATAACAGATAGCTTCGTTCTTTGGTGCAGAGGTATATCCAGCAGCACAATGAGGTTGAACTTTCTGCTTTGGGAATGGGTAATCACCAGAACTCATTTACTTATATATATTCTTAATCTTGAAGCATTTCATTCAACTCCTTCATCAGAACTCAAAAATGACATTCTAAATAAGGATGGGGCAACAATAATCTACTAGATTCCATGGTCACAGAACGCCCCCAGCTAAGACCCCCAAAAGAAAGAAAAGAAAATGGTGTATGATAAGATAAAAGCCATGCCAGAGCCTGGCTACACCGGCAGTTTTGCTATCTAGTTTTGATGCTTAACTACTGCTCAAGTGCGTTTGCTCAGCTACTGTGGTGTTGTATGAGGAACTGATAACAATACATATTAACTTTGATGAGTTAAAAATCAGTACCTGCACTAATTTGCAAACATGCTTCCGCACTGGTATTTTACAAGTGTAGTAACGCCTATTAAGGTATTGATTTCCTGAAGTGGAGTCCTTGCACCAGGCTTTTGGTAGCATTACGTTGTTGCAGATGTTTGCGAAATGAAAAGTCCCCTTTCTGTTTATTGAATCGTAATGACAATATTTGGAGCTTTCAAATGGTCACCACAATTTCTACTTGTGGTGAATTCATAACTGATTGTTGTGCACAGAGAAAACTTGACCTCCAACATGGTTCGGAAATATTTCAGGCTTTCATATGCATCAAGTAATTTTTAATTTGTCAGGGTATGAAGTCAAAAAAAAAAAATCTTATAATTTTGTTCAAATCAAGGACATTGTCAAGATTAGGCAAGATTATAGACATTGAATCGACAAACAGAATGCAAGATTATTGACTATAGTCATTTAAGCTGGAGAAGAACCAGTGGAGAAAAATTTAATTATACCGCATCTCTTTAATTTGTAATGATTGGTTTTTTTAATTTTCCAGCTATACTTCAATTAGTTTGAATTTCCCTCATGTTGAGTATCATGTTCTGCCACTTATTTACTACAAGGACAATTTACTCTTGCTAATCTTCGCATAAATTATCGCAGCAATCACCACAGTTGTTACAATTGCTGAGATTCTGAAGAATACTGGATTGGCTACGGAGAAGAGTAAGTTCAATTGCTCAACGATTCAAGAATCTCTCTTTCAAAATAAAGTCTATCTGTTACTATCTTCATGTACTGAACAGTCATCCTAATGATGAGTTTGAACAGAGGTTTTGACATCCACAGTTGGAATGAAAGATGAATCGAAAGGTCGCATGGTTCAGAAAGCCAGGGTAAGTAAAACATCATTTTCATATTAATGTGAACTGTGACCATGTCTATACCAGAGGGTAATATACATTGAGCAGAACATCAGAAACCATACTGACCCATATCATCTTTTCTTGACTTCTCAGATTGAGATTGTGCTAGGAAAGACGGAAAAGTTTGACGCACTGATGAGTGCCAAGGGACCTGCAAAGGGAAGCAACAACACTCCAGATGAGAATCAGTAGGAAAAAGAGAATGGTAAACTGTTGTAGCTTATTGTATCTCGTAGAAAGTTTGTATAAGAGGAAGAGTTATGCTGCTTTTCCAGTTATGCTGCTGCTACCATTGATTTTGTTAACGAGAGGAAGCCACAGCAACGCAATCATCAAAGCTGCTAGTGTGGAAAATATGTGGCTGTTAGCTGTATTTTGCCTCCTTAGAGTTGTTATATGTTGCAGTTTCCTTCAAACAATTGCATCTTCTCAAGATGGAGGAGAAACATAGATATAGTTAACAGGAAATGAATACAGTTTTCCTGTTTGCTAGTACTAGTTACTTTCATTTCATTTCCAGTTCTGTCAATTTACAAGTGTTTCCTCTTAATACTCTAAGCAGAACCCTTTAACCATTATGGAAGTCTCATATACAAAATATACAAAAATGTCATATCTTAGTTGGTTTAAGGATTTTACATATCTGAATGATACCTTTTCACCATTTTAGCAGAACCTATGCTACTTCCTAGGTAATTTACAGCGCGAACTCTTGCTGCTTCAACTCAACTTCACCAGCAAAAACATAAATTAACTTCCAATTTACACTTACTAATCTTCATTTGGCTGGAATGGATTGGATTCAACAAGGGACAATGTTAATTTTAATTTCAATTTTTCAAAGGCAGTCAAGCTTTTGAACCAACAGGAGAAGTGTTTATGACATAAGAGCTTATTTCTCTCATAAACTTTTCATATCTACACCCTAACGACTAGGCTATGTTGCTAAAAGTTTTGTGTCATCCTCATACCCCATCCAGCAATAAAAAAAAAGCTCCAGTTTCGTTTAACACCTCTCCATCCAGTTAATGCACCTCTCTGAATATAACCCCTCCTCTAAGGGAGCAATAACAGCAATAAGCACATCTTCAAAACACAGCCAGCACAGTTTCCTAAATATTTTTCTAAGTGAGCCAAATTAGTTCCCCAGACCATCTATAACGATCTACAAGATCCACCGGAAAACAGAAACCCGACACAACGGCTGATTACACGTCGATACAGCAGCTAAATAGGAGCGTATAAAAGAAAGATAAAAGCTTCTTTCTCAAACACACTTAACCCTATTGGTACCAAAATTTTTGTGTTTCACCTTCGAGTTTGTCATGACAGAGAGAAATCTTGGCAACATTAAAAATTTTAGCTGAGCACCATAAAAAATTGTTGATGATTGGCCTCTCACCAGACACATTCGATGATTTAAGGCAGTGTCCCAGATGGGGTCGATCAGGAAACATAAATTTAGAGAATTTTGACATAAGAAAGAAGAAACCATAATTAATGGAAAAAACAAAAGACAATTTCAGTGAGCAAGTATAAATCTTTCATTTAGCACTCCGAAATCCAGGGCACCGCTCCATCCACTTACAAATCTTCTACATGAGAGATCCTCCAATTCATTCCACCAGCCCACCACAGTATTTGGTGTAAACTTGCATTGCTGGTCGCTGGTTATTAGCACAAAATATGCATTAATTCTTGTGCAGTAAAATTTACTCAGAGTGCTTTTCCAATAACCATGGAAACCTGAGCATCTTAAAGAACCTTTACAAGCTAAACACGAAGATTTAATATTAATACAACATTTTGTATACATGTAAGGATCACCCTTACCCTATAAAAAAAATCTCTCTCAAAGTGCAGGAATTCCTCAAAAGGGTATGAAAGTGAAAATGAATGGACTCAAAATACTTTACAAGCAATCAGATGAAAGCCACAGTGGGAGAAAAAATAAATGTATAATTAAAGGGGAAAAAGAAGGAAACATTGAAAATAAGTAAAAGATCTACACACTGCTTCATGCCAGAAGAAACAATCTAATGATACTGTACAGTTTATCCAGCATCTCCATGATTAGATATGTACTGAATCAACACCCTGCTTTGCAGTGAGTCAATCCTATCCAGATAAGCATCTAGTGATTAAATCCAGCATCTTCGTAACCAAAATTATGATGGCATCTGAAATATTCATGACGATAAATTAAGAACACAGGTAAATGCAAAAATTGCTATCAGAACTAAGTTTACTACAGAAAAATGGCAGATTCATAAGTTTAAAAGACAGAGCATTCCAGAACAAAGTATGACAAGGTAGAGCTCTCACCCAAGAGGTCATAATCATTTTCAGTAACATAAGTGTTTCCAGGAATGACCATCAAAGAAATTAATGGGGAGGATATTCATGGTTGGTCTTTGTAATTGCATCTGTTCTAAAAGAATACATGAGGACATGAACAGGTCAACCTTGACCATACTGGGATCTTTCAGTGGCAACCAAAGTCAGAACCTTTCTTATGTTTTGCAAGTAATGTCAAGGACAGGCAAAACTATCATATAGACATTCAACAGAAACCAATGACTGCATGAGTAGCATACAACCTCTACCATTCCACCAGTGATGAAATGCCCACTACTCATCTCAAAGTTTGGATTAGCTAAAAATGCTATACCAAACTTGTCATAGGTTCTCCAGCTCTAAGAATGAAAACGCAGAAGAACACACATACCAATGGGCAAATCTATGCGAAATTATGGTATAATTGTTGACAAGATGAGTAAAGACACAATAAGTAGAAAAATGGTGTACAGTGTGGAATCTGAGGACAATAGTTATAACTACTCCATGTGCAAATTTTTCAATACGATCTTCAAAAGTTACAACTGGAAACCTCCACAAAGAAAGCACGTCACAGACTCCCAGACTATTACAGCCACATTTGGTTAAAGCTTTTCAAAGCTCATAACATTCTGTTGCCTCTAGCACTCTTACTTCCTTGATCGACTATATGAAGACACTGATATCCTATCAAGTTTTGGTTCTTAAGTTCCAAGTTCTGTTCGGTGTATGCTTTACTATACCAAAGGTTAATATGCATGATCCATGAAGGGCCACGCTCAAGTCCAAGTCCAACCTTTGGATAGTTGTGATGTTACAAGTACTTCATTTCACTAAGAGTTTGATAATACTGTAAAAACTCTCACCATCCATATACGCTAACTAATCACAGTATATCACCAGTTGACTAGAACAGGTCAAATAGGCAATTTGACAATGAACCAACAAATGTTATTTAACACTTCTCTACAAAAGCAGGATAGGGAGCTCAATTTAAGTTCTCAAGAATAGGACATCTTATTGGTGCAACACCAATTTTTATAAGGTGAGGATTCTTCATCTTTAAAAGGTGTGGTCCCTAGGAAACCATACTCATGGTTTCTAAATGGAATGTACAAACAAATAACCAGAATATGGATTTTGCTTTCTTCTCTGTAGAGAAAAACAGCAGTTTTGAGAACCTGGTTTGTAGAAGGCCATTTAGAATGGGTTCTGCAAAAATAAATAGGTAAGAAACTGAAGAAAACACCAAATAGCTGCTAATGTAGAAATATAGTGCAAGCACCCAGAACTAATGCTAAACAACCTCCAACTCATAAACCAACTTTCTTACTAACTTATATTCCTGCAATAAAATGATGCCACATCAATTAGTTAATTTTGTGACTGGCTTAGAATGACCTCAAGAAATCAGTAAAACTGAGAAATACTATCTACAATCAAGATCAGTATCCTTTTCCTCAATATATGGAAAAAGGTCATCAATTGAGCATTCAAGGTGGGATCCATTACACAGAGCTATATTCTAATGTTCCATCTCTCTCTGGTGCATTAATGTGCATACTCAACTAGCCTATGTGCAAATTCATCAGATGGTGGGAAGGATTGTTAGAAGCTGATACCAGGGACAAGGGTCAAGATTATATAGCTCTAACTGCAAACATCCTCTGGCAAATCTGGAAAGCCAGAAACAGCAAAATGTTCACTGATAAGTGTACAGATAACAGATTGATTGCACATAAAGCTCATCATGGATGATTGGAGTTCATAGAATCAAAAGATGACACTGAAAGGAAGCACACTACTGGAAAAGTCTCAAAACTTAAGAATGCGGGAAATGGAAGCAACCTACGGAAGGATTGATCATGATCAACACAGATGCAGCCAATTCTAGCCAAATGATAAGAACTGGTATGGCTGGTGTAGCGCGGGACTGGAATGGAAAAATACTCAAAGCTTGGGGATGGCAGGAAGATAGACGAGGTGAACCATATAAGGAAGAAACCACAGCCATCAGAATGGCTCTAATTATAGCCAAAGAAACAAAATGGAGAAGAATTGAAGTACAATCTGATTGTAAAGGTGCAATTGACAAGGTTCAAGCTGGAAAGGTAGAGGACTCCACCATAGCAACCATCCTTGAAGATATACAAGCAATGAGAGAGATGTTTGAACACTGTACTCTCTTTTGTTTATAGAACAGGAAATGTGTGTGCATATACTATCGCACAATTTGCTGTGAAGCTTGTTATGAATGTAATGTGGGAGAATTCTTTCCCCGTGTGGCTCAAGAAGAGTACACAAGATGATATTGGGGCAGCTGCCCCTATTTTGTAAAGCAAATCTTGTATTATCAAGCTATTAATATAATGATTGTTCTGTCAAAAAAAAAAAACTATGCGCATCCCAACTGGTGAAGCACCTAATATGCACGATTCTTCAGAATCTCAAAGCTAAAGGACCAAAAAAAGCATTCTGATGTCAACTAGGAAGATACTTCTGAATGCAAACTAACAGCCGAGGAATGTGGAATCTCAGGTTGTTTATGAGGACAAGTATATGCCCAAAAAGTTTTTCATTTTGTCGAAATTCCTCATAACTAATTAACTACTAGGTCAAGATACATTAGTTCTGTATCTTACAGGCATCTGCTCACTTATCCACGCCTGATTCTCCTTAGTACACCAAGCTACCTCAAATAAGTCCCACATGAAAAGAATATTTCTAAGCTGGAGCTATTAACCTATATATTATGCCTTGAAATCTACGAAGAGTTACAAAAACAAAAAAAACAATCAACGATACAAGATATTATTGCCACAGGAACTAATAGCCATGCAACAGTAGTGTGTCAAATAAAAACGTCTTGCTTTGTTAAAATTAAGCAGAGGTGATTTTGTTAAGATTATCAACAGAATCAACAAGGCAACTTAAAAAGATATTCCGTCTGTCCCATAAAAATAGGCTACATTTTGTTTAGCATTTTCCTCATATAATATAGTTAAAGCAATCATTTGCTCTTTCCTCATACACCCCTCCATTAATACAAGATGAATCCTATTATCCCCTTCAAGCTAGTGGCTCATGTTCCTAAATCATTTTTGGAACTTATCGCTCTTTAATACTAGATGAGTCATGTTTGTTGATAAAAAAGTACA